GCTGCAGAATGACGAGTGGGGTCCAGGGCTCAACACCTGGCTTGCTCTCTCAGTGCGAGATGGTACTAGCTTGTAGTTATGAAAGCTCATTGTATGGGGCCTAGACCCAGAAATTTGGGTGAGAAACAAGAATGTGCCCAAACTGAGTTTCTCCCGGGCAGCAGGGTTGTTCTGGTCAGGATGCTGATTGCACTGGGCAAGTGGCTCTGGAGCATCCAGCCAGAGGTCCACTTGGCCAACAGGAATGGAGAAAACCTCATTCCTGTGCCACGCCACTGACACCCACCTTTCCCCACATCCAATACCATCTCCCAAGCAGACATTCAGTGACCACTTTTTTCCCATTCAAATAAAAAACGAAAACAAAAACAAAAAAAACCCACCACCAGCCAAGGGCAGACTGAAGGCAAGACTCTGGATAGCGGATTTGAGTGTCTGAAGACACAGGACATTTATGTCACTTCCCTCAGGCATTCAGAAACGTATCCCTTTGACTTTAAAATACTACTCGATCCCTGTTTGTCATTCAGAAGGACTCTTTCAAATAAGGCTCTGCTGCTTCACTTAGTATTGTCACTCTGTACGATACCCTAGTGCCATTGCCTCTGATTGGCAGCACAGTGCCACAGGCGCTTTTGCGATGGCGGGGGGTGCTCTGTAACTGTTTCAAGGCTCCCTAGATTCCAATAATGTCGTTACACACAAGTCAAGGGCTTTTGCAAATGAATAGGCAAATGAGTGAAAAAGTAAACAAAAAGCCTATTATGAATTGATGAACTGGTGCCCCAGTGCATCGTTCCCACCTCCCAGCAATATGAAAAACAAAATCCACAGGCCTGGAAATTCATAAGTATTTAACAAGACATTACGCATTGAGGCAGATAAGATCATTTTTCTCCCAAAAGACTAGCCTGTCACACTCTATTATTTTTAAAGTTCAGCACGTAACAAAATCTAACCACGATTGTATACCACAGCCGCCACCTTCACATCTAAGCACCTGAATAGTCCACTTTTAAAATCATTAGTGAAAAAAAAAAAAAAAAAAAAAGAGTTTTATCCAAGTACTCGGTGCTTTTGAAAAGGACACGGGCTTCACGTGAGGAATGTGCCCAAGTACCCCTCAGAAACCATCTCTTTAAGAATAAAACTGTACCAGATGTGAGAGTCAAATGCCTGCTGGAAAGGATTTTCAGTTGTCTTAAGGGCATGTTTTCAAGTGTTTTAATAAACTGATAAAGCCATCACATTTGTATTACATTTTTACGGGCCATTTTATACTTGCAATGGCTTACTAGAAAGTTTAACAACAGAAAGGTTTGACAGAAGGGAGACAACGGGGGAGCTAAGGTCTGTTGGATATAATAGATCTTTATTTCTAGGTAAATAGTATAATAAATGATACCTTAAACTTCCAAGTACCCACCACTGGCCTCAGTAACAGCTCCCAGCCAGCAAGCGCTGCACAGATGAACCAGCCATTCGTGACACCATTTTGCATTCAAAACCAATCGCTAGCTGATCAGCCTCTGATTAAGAGAGACAGACTCCCCTTGAATTATGGTTTTCAGATAATTTATTACTAGTGAAATGAAAGAAAAAAAAAGCAAGCTGAAAACGAGGGGCAAGAAACGTCGCAGACGTCAGAAGACATCTGGCACAGTGATCATTGGGGCTTTGCAAACCGAGTAACATGAGCAATTTTGAAAAGGCATCCATCCTCCACCAATTAAAACCTTTTAAAAGTACACAGAGAAATTGTTTGTTTTAAAAACAGGTGTTTGAACACGTGACACAATGTGAGGTCCTTTTGATTTCTGATTTACCTAGAAACAAGGAATGGTTCCAAGTTTGAAGAACGCCTCTCTCCGGCTCTCTGCTCCCAGGCTCACGGGGTAGTGATACCAGAGCAAACCGGGGACCCGATCTGTTTCATCATCCTATCTCCACAATGGTTGTTTCAAGAGGAAGGTGTCAGAAACCACAAAGCAAGCAGTTATCAAATACCCCTGCCCGTGGGAAAGCTTTGCCCTGAACTCCTCCTCACACTCAGAGCCTAGACCACACGCTTCCTCTGATCGACAGTGCTTTTAGGAAAGATTTCAGGAACGATCTCAGAGTAAACCTGTTTCATGCAGAACAGGATCCGTGCCTCTGGAGCTTCTGCTGCTCACTACAATCGTTCTTGAGCGACTTGTTCCTCAATTCACTGGGGTGAATCATGTCACAATCGGATTTGTCCCACCCACGGTCTCTTATGGACCCAGCTAGTCAACCTCAGCCTCCCACACCCCCCCGGAAGCATTTTAGGACGTCTGGTTTGTGGAGCAGGTAACACAGACGAAAGAAACAACTGATTCCAAGGAATAAATAAGTAAAAAACAAAACAGAACCCCCAAACCAACCCAAGTCCTCCTCCTCCTGTTGTGCTTTCAGTCTCGTGATTCATTTCACCTCACACCACTACTGCAATACAGGATACCCCCCTCACCTTGCCTTTCCTAACACTTGCACGAACAAGTTTACTGCAGCCGTCTCCAGCCGGGACAAATTCTGCCCTCCTTGCTAGTGCAGATGAAATCCATTCACCCTTACGTTTGTTCTCCACACCACTCCCCTTCTTGGAGGCAGACCTCAGGCTGGATGGCACTCTACTGAAAGAGCGACTGATCTCCCTTGGGGGCCTTTCAGGACACACGAAGAAGGCAAGAACAGGTCCCTGCGGAGTTTGTCCCAGGCTGCTGCACTACAGCAAAAAACAGCAGCCACGCTTTCCACAGCAGCTGCTTTCCACACTCCTCTCCTCGCTTTCAACACAGAAACGACGACTTTGTAGATTTAGAAATGTGCGTGCGTGTAAAAGGCTAACACAGATAGCGGCGGGGCAGTCTCAGCATATATGGGTCGCTTCTTCCCTTTTCTCCTCCCAGGATTAACTGCTTTCTTGCTGAAAGGCGCTCTGGTTTGGTACAGCAGGGTGGGTATCCCATCCCACTGTCCTGGTTGATGGAAAGCACAGAGTTGCACGGAAAAGGCCAATGGAAAGCAGAGGCATAGCAGTGGATCTAGCCAGTGGAAAGTCCAGCATTTCTTCTGTTGCAACCACCTTCCTTGCACGTGACTTACAGCTCCCCCCAAAGCAATTATTAGCTTCTTGGGTTGTGGATCACCAAATTTCTGCCTCCTCCGTCGGCCCTTGCCAGAAGAGTGGATTTTCTGAAATTCTCCCTGTGGCTGCTCCATGAGGGCTCACAACAAGCAGGGACTGGTTTCTTTGGCTTCTACTTTGTCCAGGCCTCACTCCACAAACTTCAAAGCTACCCGGGGATGATTTTCTGCTTGGCATTCACCACTGCACATTTCAGGGGATACTGGCAAACTCTAGTGTGTGGCACCGAGAAGTACGGGGTTGCACAATCCTGCAGCTCTGTGAACTAACCGAGAAGTTTTGTAAGGTTGTGCAGATGGGGAGCCTGGAAAATAGATAGCCTGGTGCCCTTGACGTGCCGGCTGCCCCGCGCTGCACAAGCAGCTTAACTCTTGCTCTGACTAAAACTCCTTCGCTCCTCCTCTATATTTAAATTAAAAACCAGGCATCAGTTCAGCTAGAAAATATTGGGG